AAAATATAATTATAGAAAAAAAAAACAATAAAGTAGAAGTCTTTTGAACAAAATATTTTCACATTTATTTATTCCATCTGTGACACTGATGTGTCAAATGTGTTAATGGTTGGCTACCCAATGCAGACAGAGAGTGGGGTGGAGCTCCCCAGGGAAAACAAGCTTGGAAGGAGGAGTGGCATCCACTTCCGTAATAGCTTGCCTCTGGAAACCCTTTGAACCTGGAAAGAGGGTGAAAGGCACCCAAGCATCGAGGACTCTCCTTCATAGGGTCGCTATGAGTCGCCTGCGACTCACCGGCACTTAACAACACAACAACACCTATTCCATAATTATTTTGTACTGACTTTTATTAAATATGCATACCAAATGAAGGTTTCCGTTTTCAATATAAAAATTAGTATGTTATGGTTGTGTAATAGAATGAATCAAGGTGATGAACAACGTGAATCAAGTATAATCACAAGTACACATCCTGCTATTCATAATAACTGCAACATTTCAGTAATACAAAGAAGTATGAAGACGGCCACACAGCTGTCAAACCACTTTCTTTTTTTATTAAATTTTATTAATTTTAATGAACATTTACAGAGATTTTTGGGTTTCCATTCATTCATTGTTACACTACCACTTTCTTATTGAGTGTTTTAATCACTGAGCCACCAGAGCTCCCGATAAAGATTATGGCTTTGGAAACTCTACAGGGCAGTTCAATTCTGTCCTATAGGATTGTTCTGAGTTCCAAGTGACTCCACAGCAACAGGTTTGCTTTTGTAATATAAGATACACGTGCCTTGCTCCTCAGAACAGAACCTAGCATCACTGGGGTGCTTGTTAAAAATGCAGTAGCTTAGGTCTGACTCAGAACAAGTGAAATAGAATTCACATTTTAGCAATATTCTCAGGTGACTGCTAGGCATACCAATGAAGAAGCATCGAGCTAGACATTAAATCAATGAAAGAGTAACCAGGACGCTGCTAGTAGGAATGAACATATAAGTAAAAAAACCAAAACTATTCCTGAGTACTCAAGTCACAGTGATCCAACAGCACTGAGCAAAACTGTCCCATACGGTTTCCAAGGCTGTAATCTTCATGGGAACAGGATGCAGGGTCTTCCCCCGAACAGCTGATGAGTGTGAACTTCTGCCCTACTGGTTAACAACAAAATGGCTGTGCCACAAAGGCTCTTTAAGAAAAAGATCATGGGAGTATGGGAGTTCTATTCAGGCTGAAGCAAAGCAGCTTTGAGTACATACCCATCTTCATAGTTCCACATGAAGATATCACTGTCAATGGTGAGCCACGCTCTGCTGATTGGAGGGAATACACCCATCATGCAGTTACACTGCATATCTGAGGGAATGTGGATGTAAGGCACAATGATTTCAATCTCAACCTCTTAAATCTGTTTTAAAAGTTTCTGACTGACAATCAAATGATTTTAAAAAAATCTTAAGTTTTAACATAATAAAAACTGAAGCTCATTGCCATCATGTCAAAACTGACTTTTAGCTGACCCTCCAGTGAGTTTTTAGAGACTGTAAATCTCATGGAAGGAGAATGTCCATCTTTCACCTGAAGAGTCACTGGAGGATTCAAAACATATACCTTGGAAGGGTAGTACTACCCTTAACCAAAAGGCTACCAGTGCTTCCTATCTCAGGCCTCAGTAGATAGGAAAAAACCAAAACAAAACTGTTATGTGCTATAGAGTCAGATCCAACTCAGAGCTGATCCTCCAGTGGAATTGCAGGGCCTGTGTATTGCACAGGAGACTGCCCAGCTTTCTCGTCAGTAGTTCGTAGATTCAAACCACATGCCTTTGGGCGCAATTCATACTGAATACACTATCAGAGCTCCTCTTTAATGTAATAGCAAAAGAAATATCTTCATTTCCAAAGGAATTTACAGTCTATGACAGAAATATTTGCAATTTTAGATTTCTAAATGCAACTAACCACTTAGAAAGTATTTTTTAAATTGCTGTGTAACATTGGTATCTGCACAACTGCCACTTTAACATTTAAAAACTTATATTTATGTATGTATTATATTTATATAAATATAAAAAATCTGATTACTCCAATTACATTAATCATGTTGTCTAACTATCATTTGTTGAAAAGGATTCTGAAGGACAAAGTTAATATAGTTATCGTTAACAACTTCAAAACAATACTATGAATAATATCACTGGTTTCGGACATTAAAGAATTATCTTTTTCAGAACAAGGAAACCCCCAATCTTACTGGACCAGTTTGTTAACAGTGTAAGAGCAAAGTGGCAAAAAACCCCACATGCTATATGAGAGTCGTAGTCAAGGAACAACTTGCAAACTCTTAACTCATTGCTGTCAAGTTATCTCTTCCTAGCTGATGCTGCTCCAGCAGCTATTTCGGAGGCTTAAATCTCAAGAAAAGAAACTTGTCCATCTTTCTCCTGAAGACCTGCTGGTAAATTCGAACTGCCAGAAACATCACCTTTGGGTTAATAACACAATTCTGATGATCAAGTCATCAGAGCTCCCTTACTGTTTGCACCTCTCAAACCTTACAATTAAAAAAGATAAAATACTTGATTATATACAATATTACCATGAGCTAGCTATAATAACAAAATTATTTCCTAAAGAAAACATCCTTGAAGCAGATATTATAATCAGAAGATAAAAAAAGACCATTAAGAAACAAAGAAAGCCTAAAATGTGGGATAAAGTATATTAGATATCTAAAACACTATTTTACAGAAAACACTGAAAGTGTTAGGGAAAATGATTACATGCTGTTCATTTTTCTCCTTACTTCATAAGTACTTTCCTAATTTCTACCCTCTCTTTTTAAGTAACACTGTACTGAAATAAAAATTTTTACTTTAAAAAGAACTTAATATATCTTCAAGGGGCGCTCTGGTGGCCTAGTGGCAAGAAGCTGCACTGCAACTCCAGAGGCTCAAGGTTCAAATCCACCAGATGCTCTGCCAGGGAAGGAGGGACAATCTCCTCCTGTACCAGTCAGATCTGATTTGACGGTACACGCACACATACAAATAATAAAATAAAAATTTAAAAAGAAAAAAAAAAGAACTTAATATATCTTCAAACAACTTAGATTCAGCTTTTGTAAAGTTATCTTGATAGCTTTAAAATTTGAGATCTAGACTCATTTACCTGTTTTCCAGGAAATAACTCAAAGTCTCGGGCTTTTTAAACATTATGCCACATTATTCCAGGGCAGGGCGGGGTGAGATGTCTTTTCTTTTCAGAAGGTAAGAAAATGTATTGCACTGTAAAAATCTGCTGTCAGGGACCTCTCCAGAGTATTGAGAAGCAATGATGTCAGTATAGAGACTAAAATGTACCTGATCCAGGCTATGGTCTTCAAAATTACTTGCTCTGCTTTAGAAAGCTGAACAATAACTAAGGATGATAGAAGAATTGATGCCTTTGATTTGTGGTGCCGGAGAAGGGTGATGGACCACGAAGAAAATGAATAAGTCTGTCTTAGAAAGGGTGAAACCAAGTTTCTCTTTGGAGGCTAAGATTCTGAAGTTCCATCTCACATACTTTGGACACATGGCCAGGAAGGACTGGTCCTTGGAGAAGGACATCACGCTTGGAAGAGTGGAAGAGTGTATAAGAGGAAGGCCCATGGGACAATGAGGGTAGGTGTATCGTAGTCAGTAAGACTGGGTTAGGAGAGGGCAGGCTTCAGAGGTGCTATACATAAGGTTGTTATGAGTCGCATGTGACTTGACACTACGTAACAACTCAACCTAGAAAAGATGCCACAAGTAACTGTTCCTCTCACATCTTTAGACAGATTCTTACTGTTGTTGTTATTGTTATGTGCCGTCGAGCCATTTGCAACTCATAGCGACCCTATGTACAACAACCCTAAACCCTGCTCTATCCTGTGGCAATCACACTGCCTCTGACACACCCATCCCGATTACCC